GGGGCCATCACGGCGGCCTCTGACGGCCCTCTGCACCCCGGCTTCTCTGCACACCGCCTCCTCCGGGCCTCCACCTACCTCTACGGCTACTCTGGTCCCGCTGACTTCTTTTCTCGTCCCGAGTGCCACGGCGCCACTGGGGCCCACACTCCGCTCACCTCAGACGCCCTTTCAGAACAAGGCGGTCTACGAACGGAGGCACGCGCTGCTCCACCTGCTTTTCTCAAGGCACGCTCTCGTCCTGGGCGACCCCCCCTTGCGACTTGAGCTAGCTTTGCCTGACTACCCGGCACCAGTCACCAAACATGTGCCACTCCTCTCCACTCCACAGTCACGGAGGTGCCTCTGCCTGCCACACGCTCTCGTTAACGCCGCATCCCTCATACCTAGCAGAAGTCTGGCCTGTCGCAGGCTTGATGCATAGGTTAGCGACTAGATGAAGCAAAGGTGAAGTACGTTTACAGTTACCACCAGGGAGAAAAGCATTGAAAAGAAAGAGCAAGGTGCTATAAGGGAGGCGGGTGGTTAGAGATCTCTCAGAAGCAATTCTATTTCGTGCCCGGAGGGTAAGAATGAGCCAGTGGAGAGCAGACGGTTCCAGGCGGTGGGAACAGCATGTGTGAGGGCCCAGGGGCAGCAGGTGCGAAAGAAGCTCGTCAAGGAAGCATCACGGGCAGAGAGACTTGGGGCACCCCCCACCGGTGGCCGCACACAGAAGGGGCTGGGGAGGGGTCACCAGAGGTGACGCGGTGCCCGTCCAGGTCCCGAGCGGGATGATGGCAGCTGAACCAGCGATTACAGAGGGGAGGGAGCGAGAAGGGAGACTCAAGACGTTCCGGTGGCAGAACTGACTTGCTCTAACCATCAAGCCGATGTGGAAAGTATGGCAGAGAGACCGGAAGAACAAGTCCTGGGACTTTGGCTTGAGCAGCCAAGGGGCTGACAGTGCCCCTGGAGGATGGGGAGAAGAGGTTTTTGTGAGTGGGGGCACAGGCTCCGAACCCCGTAACCCTGGGGCACCCGAGACGAGATGCCAGCGGACACCCGGCCATGGCGGTCTGCGCTAGACAGAGGGACACGGCAGCGGTTACGGGACCGGATGGGCCACCCCAGGGCGAATGCCCAGGACGAGGGCCTGGGGCCAAGATGGGGAGAGAGGAAGAACCAGACAGGAAGACGAGAAGAAGCCGGAAGTGGGAGGGATCGAAATCCCACAGTGGAGCAGGTTCTTGGCCACGCCCTCCATCTACCCCCATCTCTCCCCCTGTGCCTCCCGTGCAGAAGGGACCGCCAGCCACCGAGGCCAGAGACCATGAGTCACCTCGACTGTCCTCACACCAGCCGCTCACCAAAACCGGTCAAGCCAAATGTGGACATGTCTTCCGCGTGTCCCCCCACTCCGTGGCTCAGTTTGGGCACCCGCGGCTCACCTGGATTCTGCAGTAACCTCCTGCCGGTTGCGGCCGCCCTCTGCCACCCACCGCCCACCCCCACTGTTCCTCCCGCACTGGCCTGTGGTCCCAGGGTGGGGGTTAATGGGTGTTTCTAAAAGACCCTACTCAACAAGTTCCTTGTTCCTATACTTCAGACTGTTCCATTTCTCCTGCAGCTTGTAGGCCGTGGTCCAGATCCCTCAGCCCAGGAGTATAGCCGGTGACGCAGAACTCAGGCCCAAGTCGGAAACTCCTGCCACTCGCGAGCTGTGTGGCCCGGACGGAGTCCACTCCCCTGACTGCTGCGAGTCTCGGCTGCCTCCCCTGTAGATGTGACCGACCTCAGAGAAGCAGGAGGTGCCTGGAGAACATTCCAGCGCTCAATGAAGGGGCCCCTGGCCCTCCCCCCCGCTGAAGCTCCAACTACAGAACAGGCGCACCTCGTCAGAGACACGAGGCCCTCGGGTCCCTGCCCTTTCCTGTCTGCCCGGAAAACCGGCCCTCTTCCAGCCATCCTGGCAAACACCTCTTGGCGTTTAAAATCCTCACTCCTGGGGCGTCGGGGTGGCTCATTCGGTTAAGCGTCCGACTTGGGCTCAGGTCATGATCTTGTGAGTTCAAGCCTCACAAGCCTCGTATCGGGCGCTGTGCTGTCAGCTCAGAACCTGGGGCCCGCTTCAGATCCCCTGTTCCCCTCTCTCTGTCCCACCTGCTCGTACTCTGGCTCTCTCTCAGAAACAAATAAAACGTTAAAAAAAGTAAGTCCTCACTTCTTCACCTAACTCCCTCTTCTTAGGTCCCGGTGTCCATCCTGCCTCCACACTCGGTGGGCCAACCCCTCCTCTAGGCTTCAGATCGTCTAGGCCAGATCCTGGGACAATGTTACCTCTATTCTGGGTCTCTTCCCAGGGTGCAGAGCGCCCCTGGGCACATCTCCCCAGCATCTGGCACACGTGCAGGACCCTCAGAGCCACTGCCTGGTGTCTCTGGACCCTGTGACCACCAGCTCAGACGATTTCCTCTGCTCCCCCCCCACTCCGACCCGTGATGGCCTGAAAACGGTGCCTGGCAACTGTGTAATAAACTATGTAGCAAACACCCCCTCAGTGATACAGTTACCCGCAAGGACGGGTCACGCCCACAACGAAAGAGGTGGCGAGCCAAGTGTGAGCAATACTTTGCGGGGATTCGGCCGCACCGGTCCCGCCAATTCTTTGACCTGTAAGGGCAGCTGTTCAACACGATGTCATGCTGGTGTCTAAGCACGCAGTCCTGAGTGGGGGCTGCTTTTTAAACTAAAAACAAACAACATCATTTTCATGAACCTGAGTTTTCAAATTTGGTATTAGTAAAGGTAACCCAAAGCTAAACGTTCAGAATTTTTAAAATGTTGATGCTTTGGACTTTTCGGTTTGTCTGTCTTTTAATTCAAAAACTTAAACTGAGAGTCAGGTTTTAACTGAGCAAAATGATCTCAAGGGGACAAGAGACACTTGGGGAACTTCATTCAATGATCCGGGCCACACTAGTAACACAGGGTTTCACTCCCAAATCAAGGCCTAGAAAGACCTCTATTTAAAAAGACTATGTTCTCGTTGAAAACAGTAAAGGCAGGCACCAGAGAAAGGCAGAAAATGCACACACGAGCTTCTCAGCAGCTTGAAACGAGGCCCGTTATGGCTGCTGATCCCCGCCACTGGCCTCGGTCCGCGGTGTCGGGAGAGCGTGGGGCCGCTCGCTGGTGGGCGTCTCACAGTATCTGGTCGTCCACGAGCCTGAAAGGACCTCGAACAATTTTACCCTAATGTTTAATTTGTTCGTCCATACAAACGTATGTGGCTGGTGAGAAGTCAGGGGGGCCCCGCAGCCCCACTGTCCGTGAGGGCACACTTAGAATCTGAAAGCACAAAAATGCAATTTATCATCATCGATCTCTTAAAACTGCCATCGACAGTTTTTTTTGAAAAGTGAGGACTGTACCATTTGGTGCCAGAATGCCTGACCCACTCTTCCAGGGGATGATCTCAGGACACAAGAGGTCTACGAGATTCTCACATCCCTCGCATTTGCGTGGGCCAAAATACTGGTGCTACTAAATTTAACTTCTGTATTTGAGTCAGTTCTTTGGAAATGCACTTGCAGGAACCAAAACAGGGGGGAGGAACTTGTTTTAACGTTCACATCGGTAGCCAGACGATGAAATGAGAACTGTATCCAGTGTACCTACGAAAGGTGTCTGAGACCCAGCCCGTACTAGGCATGTAGCACGTTCCCAACACTCGTTTGAACAAATCAAGACAATCCTACTCTAACGCGCACTAAAACGTTGCCGACAGTTAAGAGCAGACTCGGAAACAAATATCCAACAGCCGTGAATTCCCAGAAACAATCTTTAACATCGAAAGGTGTCTCCGCGTATCTCCATTACGTGGTAACAACACATTAGTGCTGGTTCCGCTACTGGGTGGTGGAACCAATCTGTTCATTGTTCTAGAGTGTCTGGAAATTTTTAGAAAAATTCCAGAAGTCCACAGGTGGACAGGGAGCATGCGATCTTTGGGTCTTCCTCCTCCAGGGGACTGCGGCTCACTGCCCCGGCAGGGCCTGGAGTGGTCTGGGCAGATGGGGACCCCCTCCTGTCTACAGCCTCTCCCGCACACCTGCTCCCCTCTCACCTTGAAGGGCTCACTGGGCACACAGTCCGCCTGCCCTCGGCTGGGCCCTGGTGCACGGTGAAGAAAGGGGACGTGCGTTAGGTAACTGCCGAGGACCTAGACATATACTGATTTTCCAGGTTTCGTAATTACAGCGGCAGCAACATGGGTGCGGCCAGATGCAGGCTCACAGACCCTCACACGTGACACTCGCGATAACCCTGGGAGAGCCAAGGGTCACCATCCCCACGTGACCTCGGGGAGTCCAGATACAGTACAGGGAGGCGGCTTCTCCTAGAGCTCCCAGCTCTTGTGAGGACTCAAGACAAGGGGCGCCCTCAGGTCATGATCTCATGGTTGGTGGGTTTGAGCCCCACATTGGGCTCTGTGCTGACAGTCTGGAGCCTGCTAGGAATTCTCTTTCCCTCTCTCCCTGCCCCTCCCCTGCTTGCACTTTCTCTTTCTCTCCAAATAAATAAACTTAAAAAAAAAAAAAAGACTCAAGATAAAAGCAAAACAAAACAGGACAAGACTATTCTGCACAACGAAACACCTCCCTCCACGATTTAACTCCGCACACGCACTGCGTCAGCCCCGACCCACAGGTCCTAAAACAGCACTAAACACAGAGATTATGACTGGTGGATAAAAGTTACAAGGAGATTAAACAACTACCATCTACCAGTCACGATGCTCGCGTCTACATGGAACTTCCTGGACCGAAGCAAAACCCATTCAGCGTTTCTGAAGCCAGAACATCGTCATCTCGGTTGGAGGCCTGGCTAAGGGAAAAGTTTCCCCCTCAGTTACGACAAGAAGGAAGGAAGATTTCGGTGGCTCTGAGAAGATGGAGGGAGACCCCCACGGGCCTGTGACGGACCCAAAGCCCTCCCGCAGTGCTGGCCAGCCTCCCCTGGGTGAATCTGTCCAAGCCAATGGCGGCCACCGAGTTCAAGCGAGGCTTCTATGAAGACAGGACGGGGGGGAGGGGGGCGTAGAGGGAAGGTCCTCTAGCAACAGTTAGAACTTGCTCCTTGCACTTCTCACGCTTTCTCTGGTGGAGCCCAGCCTTCCAGAGCTGTCAGTGGCCACCTGGTGCTCATGGTGGTCAAGACACGGAAGGCACAGAGCCGGGGTCACAGCCGGGGGGAGGAGCATGCACCGCCCTTTGGCAGACACACAGCCCGCCGTCCGCCCCCTGGGAGTCCAGACACGCTGCCTAGAACTTGAGGTTACAGTCCCCCATAGCTGGCTCGTTGCTGGTGTATCTCACAAGGTCTAGACTGTCAAAGCAGATTTGGAAGAAAACTGTCCTCTGGATTACAGCAGAAACTCGTATGACCTCTCTATTCAGCCTCTGGGAACTCTGCTCCTCCTCTGATGCTTCTGGAAGCCCGTCTCTACCCCAGCCTCTCCCCTTTAACCCCAGAACCTGCATGGATTCTCCGTGCTGCTTCCCTAACACTCTGGGGCCCTTGGATGCGCACTTCCTCCCTAGCTATGTGTTCTCTTGCCATGAGGGTACGCGCTGCGTGTTAGCACGCCAGAGACACCTGGAAGCCTAGAAAATGCTGCATCCGTTCTTCTGAGAAGTCACTGGAAACACTAAAGCCCCACGTTTTCACTCAAAACCTCCTTGGGGTTGGAACCCGTAACACTTATCGGGGAGAAAGACATTTTGCTGCAGAAACAACACGCACAGCTGCCGAGACCAGAGTTAGCCACGGTGCACGGACGGAAGGCCCTGTAAAGACAGGGAGAGATGGAGAACCCTGACCGTTGGTTCTGCCGACTAACCCAACTACGGGGAGGTGAACGAGCTCGCTCCCTGCCAGTGTGAGGTCACCTAGGGGTGGCTCTGTACGGGGCGCCGCTGGCACGGAAACGCACCTGGTCTGCACACCGTGAAGATCAGGGTCCTACAAGAAGATCATCTGTGCTGCCGGCGAGGGAAGACTCGCCCCGTCCCCTTTCAGTCGCTCTCCCTACAACTTACTGACCGTGTGCGGACCAGCACGGTCCCTGCTCTCAAAGAGCTCAGTCTGGAACTCTCTAAAGCGATCAAGAATCCAGAGGAGTTGGGGGGGAGGAATTTCAAGAGGGCCCTCGATGCTGGGGCAAAGTCCGAAAGATCAAGCACTAACCTTTCAGCCCGTTAGCTCAAAACTACCTCCCACTTCTGCCTCCCTCGCCCCATGTCTTGGACTCAGGCAGGACTCCCCGAGGCCAAAGGGGACTGCATCAGACAGTGTCTTCCTCTGGACTCTCCTGTGGAGGGTGCATTCTGGCTCGGGTACAGTCCGGCCCCCACCCCAGCACCCAGCGCTCCCCACACACTTCCTTCACCGGATGCGACCCAGAGCTGATGGTGCGGATCGTGACCTGGGAAAAGATGGGCATGCTCCTTGAACTGAGTTTTAAAAAACTTTGGACATGCAGGTCTCAGCATTAACACGCTTCAAGAATCACTAAGGGAAACCGTGCGAGATGAATCTATCTTGGGATTTCACTACTTGACAATTTCACTGTGTGATCACCAGGCTGGGGATACTCTTTCCGGGCAGGGCTTTTGGAGGGCCTCCAGCCGTGGCTAGGCTGTATTTGAAACCAGGGCCGAGGGTTCAGACCACAAGGCTCAGCTGTCTGGAGCTCAATTTTGGGTTCCAGGTGCAAATTCGACCAAACACCGCACTCCATCCTGGTCTCAGTTGCGCCGTCGGGCCTTGTGGATGGTTCCACGGTCTCTAGTTCCAACAGAAAAGCCAGGCAACTACACATGTACATAAATTCCAAACAGAAGGTATAATGATGAGACCAGCACGTGGGAGGAAGGTGTAATTATCTGTTCTCCGGAAGTTCGTGGCTTAGGAAGAGAAACAATCCCTTTCTGGAATCCCAGGTGCAGAGGTGGCTCAGAGACCGGGGAGACACTACTGGTTCCCAGCATTCCCTTGGAGGACTGTGTATCAAAACGGCACTACTGGAAAAGGTAGGGACGTACCTTTTACTGTGCAGGGCTGGAAGTGCTATGCGTAAAGTCAGAAGCAATGTGTATGCGGTAGCAATTGTATCGTTTATGCACTCAAACAGCTGCCTCGAAGTATAATAAAAATGAGCATGAAATGAAAGGTTCATGCAGGTCTATGAGCAAAACAGAAACAGAAACCCAGAAACCAGCCCCACGCCCACATCTACCCTGCCCTCCCCCGCACCCCCCCCCCCCCCCCCCCCCCCCCCCCCCCCCCCCCCCCCGAGAGTTCTTCCTGTGGGCTTAAAACCCTTCTGTTGAGAAGACCTACAGGCTTTATACATTCACCTGGTGGCTCATGAAGACCAGAAACACTGTCATAGAAAGAAGCTCTCTGAATATTCTGAATCTCTAAAGCAGAGAAACAGCAAAAACAGAACAGAAGAGCAGATACACAAATACTTCAGTTAGTGTGAGAGACATTTGACATCACAAGTCAACTTTGAAATCGGGCTACAACACGGCCCCTGTGACATTACTGCCCAGAGAATTTGCACTTCTGGACAAAGTTCTCTACTAAGCAATCTTCCAAACGTCCCCACGCCCGAGGGTCAGCATCAGATCGTATCAGCATTACGGGATTATGTAAACGCGGGATGAAATTTAAGAGAAATAAGGCAGTACTGGAATTGTTCATAAAATTATCTTGCAATTAGCAAATCGGGACGAGACTGCGGAAGTTCGAGCACTCTGCTAAGTGTACACGTTAAGTCCTTTTACGGTCAAAGATGCACACCGCTGCGTAATTTGACTTCCAATGCAGATTTTGGAAACATATTGGCTTCAAATACAAATTAGCAACAGTTACTAAGGAAAACAAAATTCAAGTTCTGTTGTAGCAAAACGTTAACAGAACTTCAAATCATAAGGTGATACTTCTGGATCATACCCATTACTCACGGAAAATACCCCAGGAGGCACATTTACATGAAAATGCAATCGTTAGGTTTTTAAATTTCTGGATACAAGCCCCAAGGAGTGGCAAGAAGTCGTGTGCAGCTGGTAAAGAAATCCCGAAACATCTTTTAGCAAAAAGGAGGGCGCTAGGAATCTCTAGGGCAGGGCTGCCGTCAGAAATCTTACACTGCTCCTGGTTTGGCCTTGAGTGAACTCCATAAAACCCTAAAAGCCTATTTTAACCAAAATATTCTATACCCTAGGGATTGTGCCTTCACAGGCAAGCTCGACTCATACATCCTGCTTTCATGGTCGGCTGCTCATTGTCTGCTTTTGCATTAACGTGGCTACGAAAAGAGAAAAAACAAGGACGTGTTTTTTCCAGGGCTATTTTCTTTTCCTACAGAAAAGCTCCCCTCTCCCGAGATCCCTACACCCAGAGTGAGCACTGGTGAATTTTCTGCCCTAGAACCCCCGTCAAACGCTGTGCCTGGTGCTGACTTTTTGTACGAAACACACAAACCTCGAAACCGGACAAACACGGTTCCGCCGTCCTGCCTGACCTTCACCCGGAAGATCGGCTCCCCTTCACCACCAACAGCGAGAGACTTCTGTGATCCCGTCGCTCAGATTAAAGTACATCGCCGTCCATCTAAGCCGATGGACAACAGGACTTATGCTAACAGTAGCATCATCAGGACACCAAACACATGGGATTATTCCAGAGCAGATGCCAGCACGGCCAAATCAAGCTTCGGGCACACCTGACCTTCCCGGGGGTTCCGAGCCACGGACCAAGTGCAGATGGACGGGGTTCGAGCCGGGGCCAGAAGAGTCTGCAAGGCTGCTGGCATTTCTGGAATTAAATACCCTAACTTCTCCATGGACAGAGAACACAGAGGCAGGTAAGGACCCTCCAGACACGGTCCTACCTGTCGGACACACCATCTGGGCTACGGAACACGCATGGACGCCTGCAGTCCAGGCCCTGCCAGATCTTACCCTCCTAACACCACTGACCCACAACTGCCCGACGCTCCCCCACCTGGGGACGGCAAGGCGCAGAGCTAAGGAGAAAGATGGATGGAGGAAGCCCAGGGAGGAAGCTGGAGCCAAGACAGAGGCTCGTGCATCCTGTTACCGCATCTGTGTGTATCCTGACTCTCCCACGAGGTCACAAGCTCTGGGGGCAAGGACACGTCCCTCATCGTCTCCACACGGACCTCACGGACGACCATGGTAAGCATGTGGTGGGAGGGAGTCCTGTATGAATGGGCCAGGTGTTTCCCACGATAGCATTTCTGGTTAAGAAATTAAATAATGGGGCTCCTGGATGGTTCAGTATGTTGAGCATTCAACTTGGCTTTGGCTCAGGTCATGATCCTAGGGTTGTGGGATCGAGCTCTGCACTGGGCTCTGCACTGACAGTGGAGCCTGCTTGGGATATTCTCTCTCCGCCCTTCCCCACTCATTCTCAGTGTCTCAAAAAATAATAATAAAAAGAAAAAATTAAAAAAAATAAGAGAGTCAAGGGGGCGCCTGGGTGGCTCAGTTGGTTAAGCATCCAACTCAACTCGGGTCATGCTCTCGCAGTTTGTGGGTTCGAGCCCCACGTTGGGCTCTGTGCTGATGGCTCAGAGCCTGGAGTTGCTTCAGATTCTGTGTCTCCCTCTCTCTCTCTCAAAAATAAATAGATGTTAAAATAAAATTTAAAATTGTTTACAATAAATAAGTAAATAAAGAGTCAAAAGTGGTTTGCAACATCAGGACCAGTCCGTTCGCCCAAGACCTAATTTCTTTTGTTATACGGTCATTATTCCCCAAACACCTTCTCTCCTCATTCAAAATGGAGAAAATCAGTTTTTGAGGCTTCAATGGTAGAAATGCTGGTTTCCTCTGTGCTCTTCTCCTCACACTCAGCTCCCTGCCCCCAGGGTCCTTCATCCCAACCCACAGATCACTGCCAATTTGCCTCTTCACCTCCGTGCTTTCACCCCCACGCTGTCACCCCTGGCTCACAAACCTATGGAAGCCACTTCTCCAATGGAGTCAAGTCCTCCTGAGACCGGAGGTCAGACTTCTCTGTGGCCCGGTTGCAGCCAGGAGCCTCCCTTCGTGTCAGCTTTTGTGACTCAACACGCTGTTCCCTTCCAAGGACGAGGACAACTCCTCCGTGACAATCTGCCTCATCACATGCCAGAGGGACCCCCTTCCCTGTACCGAACGTGGCCAGAGGCTCCTTCCCTACCATTCGCGTGGCATCCGTCACAGCTGTGGTCTGGGTGCATCTGTCTCTGTCTCCTGTGCTCAGAGCTCTTACGGGGGCGCCAGGAGGGCACAGTGGCTCCGCTCCCCCAGCCGTGGCGCCCGGGTCAGTCTCCGCCGAGGGGACGGGCAGCCCGACTCCTCTCGTCTCTCTGGGATGCGTCCCTCGCACATCACCCCCTGCAAGCGCAGGCCTTCCCAGGCCTCGTGACAACCAGAGCTTGGACGGGGTCCGTCCACTCCGGCTCTGGAGTCTCGTGTCCTGTGCTACCGTCTCCTCGCGACAGGCCCGGGGCCCCCTTGTCTGTTCGGTGCGGCCTCGACCGCCCAGGCCGCTGCGCCAACTGGGAGCACTCAGCATCTGGTGCAAGACTCTCCCCCACAGGCACCAAGACCACCTAACCTCCCACCAACCCCTCCTTTCGCCCGGTCTCGGGCGCACGATCTCTCCCGGGACCCACGTGTGCCGAGCAGCAGCCCACGCCGGCGGGGCCCTCACGCTCACTGCAGCTGCCGGACACGACCGCTCCGGACCGGAGCTCCTACCCTTCCCTCCTCACGTTCTCCTGTTCCTTCTGCCTCAATACCCCTCGCGCCTTCTTTTTTGCTTCCGGGGTTTCTCTCTATCTCCGAGGAGGGGGCTGGATGACAAGGTCTGGAGACAGTCCAGAGAAGGTGGGGGTGAGCCAGGCTCCTGAGGAGGCTGGCCTCGGGCCAGATCCAGGGTGAAGGGCCCGCGGGGCCTGGGGCCGCGCGAAGACGTGGGGTACAATCAGGATGAAGGCAGCGGCGAGAGCAAAGCTCTGGAAAGCACCGGCCCCCACCCCCCGCGCACGGACACGCGGACGTTTCGTTTCCCTGGTACTCGCAGCACCTTCTAGTCTATGACGAGACACTCGAGGCTCACGTAAATACAAGATCTCAGAGGGCTGACGGAAATAAAAACAACTACTGTCTATGCAGGGCATTTGAACTGTTCACCAGCTACTGCGTGTGTGTTGGGGGGGGGCGGGGCGCAGCTCACGGACCTGTATGCGACCCAGAGCGAGTGTACAGGGCCTTTCTGGTTTTGCGTCCCCAGTACCCCTGCGTAGGAACCACACTGGGCCCTGGGTGCCCTGAGGCACGTGTGCAGTTCTTTCCGGCCCTGTGCCTAGAATGTTCCACACTTCCCACAGCATCTGACCAGGAAGGCAGACGTTCTGTTTCCCAGGGTAAATTCCGATGTAGCGGCAGCCCTGCTCTAGGGAAAGCAAGTTTTAAAGTAAAATACACGTACACGGACCTAACGCAAAAGGACCATATATGAGTCTTCACCGGAAAAGTTTCGGGACAAGCTGAACTCCAGGCGGAAGCGCGTTCTTACCGTCCTTCCAAAGCTCTGCCACGAATCTGTCCGACGACTGATGCAGGAGGGTGGCCACGTTGTCGTTCAGCGGGTCCATGTTCTTCATCAGCCACTCGTCTGCCTTGTAGTCCACCTGGCCGTGGTGGGCCACACGACGGGGGGAAAGGCGGACACACACACAAAACAAGAAACGCTTTCAGCCTTAACCCAGAACGTTCTCGGGGACAATCTGAAAGGTGGGTTGTCTCGAGGGCCACGCGGTGGTGACGCACACGGTGTTTAGGGTCTGCGGACGTCTACCCGCACGTCTGTCACCAGCGCCATCAGATGCGGCGAAACCCAAGCTACCGTTAACCGTTACAGAGCCCGTACCTTCCCCGCGTAATGGATGATGCAGAAGTCTGCTTTGTCTTTCAGTTGCCGGGGTTTCTGAAACTTGGAGTGGGAGCCTTGCTCTTGAACTAGTTTTTCGACAAAGGTCTTATCCGTGGCCTTCGGGAACCAGCACTCTTCGTCCAGAAGGGCCAGCACGCCGGGGGGGTTGGCCTGATAATGAGAACGGACAAGTTCACCGTCACTCGCTTTCAACGCCAGGATGCCCCTCTGCACTTGGCAGGTTAGTTTCAAGGATGAGGAAGACTTTTCTGAAGCTATGGAAACCAAACTGCTAGGACAGGAGGTAGTGGAGGGATTCTCTCCGTCTCAAAAAAAAAAAAAAAAAAAAAAAAAAAATTGAAGAAAAACAGAACGAAAGTGACCCTCAACTGGATGGAATGCTTCCAACATCTCACATCCTAACTGATTTAAGTTCCTCTTTAAGGGACGGTTAAATACACAGCGCCCGGTCAAACGGCAAGACTAGTAAGCATTAAGCGGAAAATATCAAAGGGGGAGAAATAATTGATCAATTACTTTATGTATTTGACCAACGCAAGAGTCGCTACTTTATTTCACTCAACTGGTTCACTGAGGAAAGGCCCAGAAACAAAGGCAGATAGTGGACTGTGAGAGGCCTGGGGTCTCTGGGACGATGACAGCGTTGGAGTCAGGCAGTGGAGATGATGTACGATGCTGTGAGCATCGAAACCCACTGAGCTGTATCCCACAAAACGGTGGATTTCAGGGCACATGAGAAGGTCTCAATCAAGAAAAAGTGCCCAGAGTCGGTGCACGGACTTCCCTTCTGGAGGAAGGCGGGGGGCCCAGGAAAGGGACATGAAACACTCCAAATGTGTTGGCCTAGGTCGTCGCTGCTGGGTCATCCCGCACTGCCACACCACACCGCAAGTACATGTCAGTGACACGAGACTGAATGCGGCAAGTCTGGGGCGAGCCTACGTGATCAGCCTTGGGAATCCATATCCAGGAGCAGCTTTCCTACGTTTATCAGGAAAGCTGGCTCTGTACAAATACTGCTTAAAAAGTGACAGAGATTAAAGCATACAGGAAACATGTAACCACATGGTCAGAGGAAGGTGGCCGGACAAAGTGCCAGGAGGTAGAAGCTGGGAGAACCCTGTAATGGGCCCCGACCCCAGGGCTCACTAGTTTGCGGCTCTCGGAGGGTTTGGAGCAGCTAAAGGAACACTGGAATCGAAGGCAAGCAGGATCAGGTAATCTTCCAGAAGCAAAGGTTCAGAGTCGTAGGTGACTGAACGTACCCCACTCACCGGACGACTCTGAGGTTCCGCATTAACACTAATGAGGACACATCTATCTTTGTACTCCAGTTCTTACGTTTTAATCCCTTTCAGTGAAAACACTGCTAAATTCTGAAACAGGATCCCCTGTGTAATTTAACCTTTTCTAAATGGCTCAGTGACAGCACGACTATGAATATCCACGAGTATGGCTCCTTTTTACTTCTGCTACTTCATCCCTCAATGTCAAGTTCTGTGTTATCACTGCTCCTTTAGGTCGGGGGTTTCTAAAGAGCTGGAAGTCTGGGAGACAGGTTTCGGACTGCCAGGGAAAACAAAGAACACACGGCCGAGTCACGGACATCTGTTGGAGATCATAAGCGCACGAGTTACGTGTGGTCTTGCGTATTTCTGCGGGAACACTAAACCAGAAGAAAAGGACCTCTGATACGTGCTAGGACTGCTATTAAAAGTACATCTACCCCCAACCCCCTGGAAGAGTCAAATCAGGAAAAACCCTGCCCAAATAAGAACATCCTTGTGCTCACAAGGATGAGCTTTAGTTATGGGAACGAGGGGTCTAAATGCCGTGACTTGCTCCCGGATGACCTGGGCGGCCCTGTGTGGCCCGGGCAGGGGGTGAGGGCACGGTGGAGGGGGGTCTGCAAGCGGCAGGCTCACACACGAGAGGGCGGAGGAAGGGCCTTCCCTGGCTGCTTGCTTACTTTTCAAACAGGTATTTCATCAAAGCATCTCTTTTCTACAATGTTTATGTTAGAAAATTATCTTAAAGCTAATCAGGCTGAGGGCGCCCGGCCAGCTCAGCCGGTGGAGCACGCGACTCTTGATGTCAGGGTCGCAGATTCGAGCTCCACACTGGGCGTGGAGCCTACTTAAGAAAAGGCCCCTTAGGCGGGCTAGGTGCCCTCGGGGACGACGCTGTGGGAACGACCGCCGCGCTGCCGGAGCGCGCCCTTACGGGTCTCTCGATGAGGTCGATGCAGGGCTGCAGGTCAAGGCCAAAGTCGATGAAGCTCCACTCGATGCCCTCGCGCTGGTACTCCTCCTGCTCCAGCACGAACATCGTGTGGTTGAAGAGCTGCTGCAGCTTCTCGTTGGTGTAGTTGATGCAGAGCTGCTCGAAGGAGTTCAGCTGCATGGGGCGGGATGCGGGACGTGGGGGGGGGGGGGGGGGGGGGGGGAGAGAACGGGAATCATCAGTCGGCCGCTACCGACACCCGCCACGGGAAATTCTCAGGGACCAGCTGCAGCACGGGTTCTGCGTGAGGAGGGGGCCTGAGTGGAGCGGCCTCGGCCTCTCACCGCACCGGCCGCGGGGGACCTTCCCGGAACGCGCAGAGCAGGGAAACGCTAAACTCTGCGCGCTAAGCGCGTCATCTACCTGTGAAACAACTCCGTGCCCGCTGCTGAATGGTTAGCAAACAGAAGCGAAGGGATGAGCGAGACAGGGAGAAAGAGAAAAGGCAGAAAATCAAAGCGGCGCGGGAAGGTCAGAGGCCACGGGGCTGAGTGTCTGGAAGCCTTGTGGACGGGCTCCTGTTCCCGCTCTTCTCTTCAGCCACAGGCTCTGGAGCGACTTAGGTCCTCCTGGCTTTGGGGGGTGGTGGACGAGACCCTGGCCAGGCCTGATGAGGGTGCTCGGGGAGCGGGAGGCTCCAGCCGCCTGTCCGCGCGTTCCCTCCTCTTAAACGAGGGTCCGCCCTCTGCCAATGTCAACGCAGTGGTGACGGAGGGGGACCACGCTCCTCATGGCGAGCACGGAGCGCACGGAACCGGCGAATCAACAGCCGCACGCCCGACGGGGACGCCACCTCGTGTGTCCATTAGACGTCGGGACGGGAACTGGATCGTCTTCTCACACGTTCCAGACACTGCTGTTTCCTTCTTCGGGAACTCGCCGGTTTGTCTACGATGCTGCCGATGGGAAGGACGGATGGACGGGTGGATAGGAAGAAGTTTTAAGCACAGTCACCTTAGGTGCTAGAAGTTCTCAACCTTTTTCCCCCGAGCCTCCACGCTGTTCGCGAGAAGCACGTGTCCATAAATAACTGCTCTCATTGTGAAAAGTGATCTTCAATTAGGGAACGTGTACTCCGTCTCCAAGGAGATTTATAGTCTGAAAAAGCTGTTCCAATCCTCTCCCCGTGGGGGTGTTCTACTGCTTGAGAATGCGGTCACACTTGGAGGGCAGGGACGCGGTGTTCGCCCTGCTCAGCACCATTATTTCCCGGGAATATCTGCAGACTGCCCGGTTGTGCGTATTCACGTTTAGGTAAATGGATTTTGTTCTGCCGTGGGATGAGGAGACCCTACTGCTCTATGCAGCTTGGGCAACTATGTGGGATGGCATTTTTTTTTTTTAAATTGAGTTCCTAACTTGTCTTCACATTTAAACTACAACTACGTTTTCATATAATCGGTACTTAAAATGGTAATGCGTGGTGTACAATTAAAAGTGGACGAAGAGGGGTGCCTGGGGGGCTCATCTGGGTAAGCCTCTGACTCTTCATTTCAGCTCAGGTCATGATTTCACAGTTCCTGGGTTCAAGCCCCGTGTTGGGCTCCATGCTGATGGTGTGGAGCCTGCTTGGGATTCCCTCTCTCTGCCCCTCCCCTGCTCTCTCTCTCTCTCTCTCAAGGTAAATAAATAAAAAAAATGGGCAAAGAGCCACATGAGAAGTCTCACTCACGTCAACTACTTGTTCTATGGTTAGCCACTGTCCCCTGCTTCTCGTGATCCTTCCAGAGATGTTCTGTGCACTCATGTGTGTGTTACCTTGACTTTTTTCTTTTAACTTGATCTGTCCTGGAGTCCTTCCACAGGAGGATATAAAGCCAGCTCCTTCTTCATACTGGGTGTACAGGACCCAATATATCCAGTGTATGGATATACTGTAATTCCCTGAACCAATTTCCTAATGGTGGACATTTAGGTTTTTTCCATTCTTTCCCCAGGACAAATAACACTCGCTACCACAATCCTGCATTTTTACCTTCTCCATTTTTCTATGGTCCATATATTCATAGGTCAAGACCATACTTCTTGAAGTACAGTTTAATTTTACGTAATGTTTCACTTCTTTTAATATCCTTTTCATTCCTTTTTCAGAATTTTACAGTCTGTTCTTTATTTTCCATTAATTCAACTTTCAAATTAGTTTTAGAAGAAGGTTGCCTAGTCTCCCCCCACTCTTAAAATTCCCATCGGCAGGCGCCTGGGTAGCTCAGTCGGTTAAGCGTCCGGCTTCAGCCAGGTCACAATCTCGCGGTCTGTGAGTTCAAGCCCCGCGTCAGGCTCTGGGCTGATGGCTCAGAGCCTGGAGCCTGCTTCCGATTCTGTGTCTCCCTCTCTCTCTGCCCCTCCCCCATTCATGCTCTGTCTGTCTCAAAAATAAATAAACATTAAAAAAAATTTTTTTGGGGGCGCCTGGGTGGCGCAGTCGGTTAAGCGTCCGACTTCAGCCAGGTCACGATCTCGCGGTCCGTGAGTTCGAGCCCCGCGTCGGGCTCTGGGCTGATGGCTCAGAGCCTGGAGCCTGTTTCCGATTCTGTGTCTCCCTCTCTCTCTGCCCCTCCCCCGTTCATGCTCTGTCTCTCTCTGTCCCAAAAATAAATAAAAACGTTGAAAAAAGTTTAAAAAAAAAAAAAAATTTTTTTTTTAAAAATAGTATTTCCGTCAGTAGGTTTTGAATGGACATGCTTGCTTGAGAAGTAACTTGGGGAAGATCTGTTGCTTTATGAGGTGGAAATTCCCTGAGAACATGATACGTTTTCTAGGTGGTTCTGTTTCTCACAGTAGCACTGGGAGGTTGCCTTCGGTAAACTATGCTGTTTCTGCTTAAATTTATTCTTCAGTCTCTCATCCGTTTTTGTTGCGGCTGGAATCAGGGATCTCTTCTTTCATTGTACCTTCTGATTATGTAGAAGGCGACAAATTTTTTTTTTTTTTAATGCGACACATGCCCAGCCACCTTTCATGATTTCTCGAGTTTTCCACAGATCAGTACATATTCAAGCAATCTCCTCCAACGACAGCGGCAGCTCAGTGGCTAAGACTGCGCCCCCCAGTGACATATCTCAGATCTGCTCAGGCCAGACTGATCGTCCGAGTTGTTCATTTTAAAGCTAAGGCAATTCCATACCCCGTGGTGGCCAGGGTATCACACTGGTCCCACGGAGTATTTAATTTAGTATTTGTGCCTCACCGTGGAGTCAGTCCATCAAAGGAGACATAAAGATGTAAATTTTTAGGAGACTGAAATTGTATCAATGTTTTGGCACAACCACAGCAGCCTTGTGACTGCAAACCAGTGACGGGATGGATGGAGAGGGTGTGGAGAAAGCCAGTCGCAGCAACAGCAAAATACACCAAAATCTATCACCAGACCCCGTGATGCATCTTCGGGACACAGAGCACCATCTCCGTCTGTGTCTGCTACCCCTCGCTCTCCGGTCAGCTAGGTGTAGCCATGCCGGCTTTCTAGCACTTTCTAACACTTGACAAATCCTCTCCCATACAAGATCACTGACTTACTCTCATCACGTAGGAAAACTCGCAGAGGCCGGGGGCTTCTCCTCCTCAGGTATGCTTACCTGTAGCTCCCGAGACACCTTCTGTGACTGGGCCCCCCACTTCCTCCTCACGGCACCCTAATTTGGCCGCACCTGCTCATCTGCCATTATAGCCCCGGTGCCTGCAGTGCACCCGGTACAGAGTGAGCCTTCGTGTTTATTAAAAGAATAAACAGAAGAGCAGGAGAGAGAAAGACCTACCTCAAATATTTCGAATCCAGCAATGTCCAGGATTCCGATGAAAGATGCGCCCTGACGCTTGGTCCTGTCCAGAGCTTTGTTGATGCGGTGGACGAGCCAGCGAAAGAGCCGCTCATAGGTAGCTTTCGCCAGTGCTTCTACTGCAAAATCTGCCTGTAATTAGACAACAACCTTTTATTCTGGAAACCACCTACGAAGCATTACTAGCGGTTATCTGGAGTTTAATGCTCTATAATGTTCCCAGAACTCAAATAGCTTTTGCTACTTAACATTGTCTCCGTTTGACATAGCGACAGTTAAAGGTACAGGTAAACATAAACTGGAGATGATCTACTGAGGAGAAGGGAGAAGATGCCTAGGAAAAATCGACTCTTTCCTGGGCCCTTGGGGCTCTGTGCAGCCTGTCTGCCCAGTCTTAAAGGAGTCTGCCACGAAACGGGTGGATCCGACGCCCACATTCTTGGTGCTGGGCCACCCACACAGGGACCCGGGAGCAGCACGCCCTACGGCTGAGCGGGCTTCCGAAGTTATACAGCTTTGTCCTGCTGGATGATCTACCTACCTGGGGAAAGCCTGAGGTGATATTTCAAATTTACTTTAGAAAAAAAAAAGTCACTTCAAAATTTTTTCTGGAGAAAACCATACAAGAGAAAAAACAACACACAGTACCAAGAAACACCTGTTACAGAATTTCTGTTAAGGTCTGTTACCTGCCAATAGGAAGGTCTTCTGAGGATAGCTGGTCATTCAAACGAATGTGCAAAAACAATGTGAAACTCACTTGTTCTTTGGTCTGGGCTTTCTGCACATAGTCTCGGCCGACCTTGATCCGGGGGGTGAGGATAGCCCGAGTGAACTCCATCACATTCATCCCCAGAAGATGGCAGAGTTTCTGTGCAACTAGAGCGTAAAACGTTTCCTAAGTACTAGGCTTCTACCTATGAGCTAGTCACAACACGTTCGATAAGAAACCTCCAGAAATAAACTGAGTAAGTCTTAAAAAAGGACAGGTTTCAGGTCTTCATCCTTTCGAATGAGTACCACTCATCCTTAGGTAAGAAGGAACAGGCAGCGGTTACTTATTCCGGGTAATTCATCTTAAGTTACGGAGTCTTAGAACCCATGGATGATGCACAGAATGAGAAAAATAGCATTTGTGCTAATTTAAATCATGTTACCAGGATAACTGGTCGTGCATAATGATCCCAATAATATTTAGTAGGCAAGAAACCTAAAGGTTTTTAAAAATTTGCATGGCCAACAGCGAGCACTCAATAAACAGCTCATTCCGTTACTACTGTTCTCGGCAGCCGGGCACGTACCTCCTCACGCGCTCACCGGGGACACTGCCAAGTTCTAACAAGTGTGAAAATTATTCTCATTTTTTTAGGTTTATTTATTTTGAGAGAGTGCAAGTGGGGGAAGGGCAGAGAGAGAGAGGGAGAGAGAGAATCCCAAGCAAGCTCCACAGTGTCGGCACAGAGCCTGATGTGGGGCTCGAGCTCACGAACCTCGAGGTCATGACCTGAGCTGAAGTCAGATGGTTAACTGACTGAGCCACACAGGCACCCCTCTAATTTTTGATTAAGTGTTAAAATAAGAAAATTCTATAAGGATAAGCACATTTTGAGTTACACCGGGAATAGAACTTACCCAAGTTCTTACTGGCAAAGACCCGAACCCGCCCCTCCCCACCAATCCACACGTGTTGTCAGCAACTGGACAGTAGTCCTGTGTGGGCAGGACAGGCCGTGCCGCAGAGGGCATTTCTTCCTTCGGTCTGTGGCTCTCGCCACTGGCTCGTACCAACTGCTTTGCTTCGACCTCTAGGTCCTGGCCCCTTTTAGTTAACGTGTGTACGAATGCATGCGTGTACGTACTGGATGGGAAGTTGAAAAACACAAAGAAGCACAAAAAGCCAACGGCCCACACCCCTTTGCTAAAATGATAAATGACATTTTAGAGCCTAAAAAAATATACCTGATGGTGGGGTTAGATCTTGGTTTACTTCATTTGATTGGATATTTCAAAGTAGTTCCTGGGTTCCCCACTCCCCATTAAAATGCTGACAAACACATCTTTTTGCATGATGTGTGTTTTGTCTGTCTTACTCCCTTTTCTGAGACTCTATCTACTTCAAAGGGCCAGGCTCAATCAAAAAGTTCCAGAAGTGAAATGAAACACAGCCTAGGAAAGAGAAAATTTACTGGTCACCTGGCGCGTGAGAAGTACAACTTTAGCTTTATGATGTTATTGTGAAGAAATGCGGCCGGATGTTTAAACAGACACAACGGAGAACTTCTTTACGTTATGGAGAGCTGGCAACTTATGCTTGGGAACATGACGACAAACAGCACAACACAACTGTGGCCGTGGCACAACAACAAACCACGTAAACAAATAAAATCATATTGGTCAGCTTACCTGTATTTTCTGGCATGGACGCTTGGTCAGTATTTCGCTCCTTTTTGAAAGAAATGTTTCCAAACTGTAGCACTGAAGATACCACTTTAAGCATTGCTTTACATGGATACGGAGAAAAATAAAATTATTACATCAAATTGCAGCAGAGACGTATTCTAATTTATTCTGTGCTAAAAATTAGCTGTAAACAGCTTTTCAGTAACACAGGTCTCGGGAATTTGTACAATTACGGGTGATTCTCACGATTTTCTGTCATTTCCTAGTTTACGCTCTTACCCCCGCCCCGCTGACTGTGCTAAAGTCTTATTTAAGCGAGCAGCAGAATTGGGGGGAGACCCACGTACAGAGAATTTCCTCGTGAGAGAAGCCCATTATGTGCATTGCTTCCATGGTCTCCTGAAAGTTATCTTTGTCTTGCTGTCCCGGAATGGGAATGTAGCCATTGGAGAGAAATCTGTAGTTATTAAATCCTTCAAGGAGCAGATCAGCTAGGAGAAAACATAACGGATACAGTTTAATAAAGAACCATCAACAGACGAAGCACCCCCACCTTCACGCTGGGCTGGGCCGATCACGGGAGACGTGGCCCACCCCCGCCATGCCACCACACTTCTTCCTGTCACACTTTTTCTTCATAGGTTCATTTCAAAAACATGCAGTTTTCCATCCTATCGAGGAGGGAAAATGAGGGTGGAAACTGCAAACATTCCAACTGCGGTTTCTGGGACAGTGGCTTATAGGATATTTGAAATCAGTAGCCCGGGGCACTTGGGTGGCTCAGTTGGTTGAGCGCCCGACTTCAGATCAGGTCATGATGTCGCGATTTGTGAGTTCGAGCCCCACATGAGGCTCTGTGTTGTCAGCGTGCAGCCTGCTTTGGATCCTTTGTCTCCCTCTCTCTGCCCCTCCTTCTCTCTCAAAAATAAACAAACGTTAAAAAAAAAAAAGAAAAGAAATCGGTAGCCGGGAAAGGATGCACATTTTCCAGATAACTAGGCCTTACTGTTTTCACATTTAAATAGTTCAGCCATCTTTTGAGGGAAGGTTTTCAAGCCCTACAGTCTGTAATTTTATCTTAGCAAAGTAGTTTACAGCAAATGTTACGGGGTCAATAGGAAGACAACACGAACGTAAAGACCCAGCTGCAGAAGGTACAGAATGTGGAACAGACAGGTCCTGAGCCAGGCCGGTGCCCCGAAACCCTCTGAGCCCGTTTGTCTGGTGGTAAATCTGCTTCTCAGAGTGAGGTGCAACCCACATTTATGACAGAGTTATCACAGCAGCCGCCCCCATCGACTACTTGTACTTTAGGGGCCCTGAGTTGGAACTTAACGCATCCTTTCGCCAAAGGTGTGGAGACCAGAAGGAGGTTTGTCAGGAGGGGTCAGAATAGATACAGCTGTTTATCTTCACACTCGACGTATCATGTGCTCTCCTGCCGAGAGTTTCTGTCCTGTCACTGAATTCTCACCTCCCTCACATTTAACCTCTCCTGGCTACCGTTTGCTCTCTTTTCGTCTCTCCTTCTTTTAACACTTTGATCTTATTTTCTTGGTTCATTACGACGGAAGTTACTGCCGGTCTGAAAGCCCGAGAGTTCTCTTCTTCGGCATTACGGACCGCATCGTCTCGGATGTTTAATTTCTCAGTGCGATTACTCTCTTTATTTGTTGCTGATTTTTTTCCCCTTACGGGTCCCTTCTCTCACTTCTGGGCTCAACGCTTCCACAGATGTCTGCGTGAGCAAAAGCCTACAGCCCAGGTGACAAAGGTGATACGACGCAGGTGTCTGCTCTCGCACAGGAGCGCCGAATTTTCAGTGCCGATTTCAGAGGAGACCAGGAAGCCGGACGTCCTTCCTTCTCCCTCAGATACCTCTGACTCGGAACTTTAACCCAGCCTGTCCTATGCTTCCAGCCCTTAGGATTCATGACAAAATACATGCACAAAAGTCCGCCATAAGCTCCATCTAGTACTAGTGGAAGCATAAACGTATATGTTCAGTTATAAACCTGGGAATAAAAATATTTACTCAATTTAATCAATTTATTCTTTTTTACTTTTTTTTTT